GCGCGAGAGCGTTACTGTTTTGTCTGTGGTTTGCAGGCATTTTATGGCCTCTGTTGATTGAATGCAATTTTCATAAGGATCCATTCACCTCCAGACAGCGCCTCACCACTCATAACTCATTCCACACAATATTCCTGCCACTTACTGGGAAGGAATAATATTTTGGGTTCATATAGAGCACTGACAGCTGCGAGGTGGATGCAAAATCATTCCCACCCGGAATAAAACCACGTCTTGATTTTCTTAGACAACTCAGTGGACAATGCCGACAATGAAAGATTTCGTGAGTCTTACAGTTCTGCAATTGCTCTGGTACCTGTTTATCGTAGTTTCAGCAGGACGACGGTCATGTGAGGGAGGGCAATCCTCTGTAGATGGACAAGAGCCTTGCACAGATGACAGCGTCCCCTTCCTTCCCGGTCCCCCGACCCTGGAAGCTGTGGCCAGATGGGGCCAGGTTTACCTACGATGTCATTACCCCGCAGCTAGGGTCAGTGATAGCAGCAACACAGCGCTGGTCAGATACGAGGTTGTGGTGACAGCGCTTAGGGGCTCCGCCCGAGCAGATTTGGCCAGAAAAACAACCCACGGAACTGAAGTGTTTTTGGATGATGTTCGGTTAGGTGACGAGGTGAGAAAAATAATTTAAATCGCAATAGGAGAGTTTTATTTTACACAAAAGCAATTTTTGTAGGCAATAACCATTATATGATTAACCAATAAAATAAAGGTCTTTCAGCCATCGCGCTGCTTTACAGTTTATCATGTCATCTTTTTACTCTACTAACGTTTAGTTTTGTTGATATTAAATTAACAGTGTTTTACATCATGATTTGACAGTGGCAATTAAAACAACAAATACTTCTCTTGTCAGATGTATGTTAAGTTTATTTGTAATGTTTGTCAGGAGACGTTCTATTGGGGAAAAACTAAGCAAGCACCAGCTGTTAACTGGCAAGTGGTGACTGGAGAGATAGAAAATCTGTTCCAATTAGTATTTGCACCAACAGTTGTTGCTTTTTTCTTGCTGTCGAAAAACATTTTGAACTATTTCTCTTCCTAGGCTACGTGTGAAGTGAGAACCTTCTATTCATCAGATCCAAACACCAAAAGCCCTCCAGTGCTGAGCTTGCCCCTTCATCTTGGAGTAACGGTAATATAAATTGCCTAAAGGTAAAATGGGCATATTTTTTATACGGAACTGTGAAGAACGGAGTGATAAGATGCGGGCATATTTTTTTCCATAAGTTAAAAGTGACACAAGCTGACGAAAGCATCGAAATATACATTTATGTTATCATGCCGTTGCTCCCAACTGGGCCTCCAACGAAATCCAAAATTGATTAAGAGCATGTTGATAAACAATGATTGGACATGTGATTATGCTTTTGGTCTGTAGGGGAAATTATAGAAAACGTCTGGACCGTTATTTTTAATATTGTAGTTTCGGTTGAGTATTCGCTAGTTTAGAGATAAACTGCATCTAAACGTTTGCGGTGTCATTTTGTGCCTTTGCCTTTAAACCGTGTTCCCCTTCGTAGTTTCTTGGTCCAAATCGCGTTGACTCATCTTGTAGAGTAATTTACAGCTTCTTTTTAACACAGCTAGTCAACCTATTCCTGGAGGGTAGGGAGACTCGCTCACCCAGTTCACATCACAAATCTAACTTTCATTTTAACACCAAACAACAGCGTTAAATTAACTGACAAGAAAAGTGTTTGAGACTATGTCACAAGTCAGTTGCAATCATCGAAACTCGCAACAGATTAGACGGCTGCAATCAAGATCTTATGGTCTAGAGCAGAAAGTAACACAGATTAGAAATAATTGGCAGCGGGAACATTCCCTTTCGAAATGTTTACAGGGGAAATCTTGAAGAAACATCTACAAATTTAATTTTGGTCATCTAGAACTCTGATGCCACGCACTGTTATTATTTTTCTCGTCAGACTAACACCCCAACTTTACAACTGAGAGAAGACGGACAATATCACAACGTAACATACGAATTGACGTTGCCATTGGTTTGCGGTCAAAGTAAAGACGTCTGCAGTCTGAAGTTCGGGCTGAGAACTTTAGAATCTTTCCACAAACATGGTAAGATATTTTGTGCCTCATAAATATTAAGATAAAATTGTCATCCAAAACTCAAAAAGAAAAATGATTAAATTCAAATGTGGTATTTCAAGGGCACATTTTAGGTGAGATTTTGGGGTGTTGTTTTTCATCATTTTCGATTTCTGCGTCTGAAAGTCAAGCGATGAAAAAGGCATTGCCTCTACACTATAATCCTGATCACATTTGGTAATAAATACAATTATCCGATTCGTTGCGTTTTAACTATGGATTTTTGACAGAATTGCGCGTCTATAAACTTGTCAGGTGGGTCTCATATTTCAGGTGACAGTGTTGGATCAGATATATTCCTTTCATCGTGTGTAATCGAATTTTCTGCGGAGCTCTGTCGTTTGGGATCTTGCAAGCAGACGATCCAAGTGACGGCGGGAAATGACGGATTTGATGACGACGGGAGAGAAACGGAAATACACCTTGACTTACTGGAAGCCAATAATCTCCAATGGAAAGGATATGAGACGCCAAGAGTGAAGGTAACGGTGTATAAGTATTTCAGCATGGTTTGGTTTATCACCCTCTTGAAACAAATGGCGGCCTTTTCTAAAATAACGTGCTTTAATGATCTATCTTGCTATTCTCACTGAAATGACGTTGTTGCCCACTAAGCTAAAAAAAAAAAAAAAACAGTAAAACATGCGATAAAATAACTTTTTCCTGCAACACCTCCAATCTTATTCATATTTATAGAAAAATATGAAACTATTCACTTATCTTCAGGTGACAGTAAAAGATGTTCCTACAGCCAGGTGCTATGTCTTCGGAGATCCCCACGTGATTACATTCGACGGGAGGTAAGGTAGGCTCTCCAGGGTAAATACAAATATGGTGGCGATTAACCGTGTGAATGACTTCGAATAGTGAATTTAGGACTTAATATTACAAAAAGCTGGAAACAAGCGGGTGAAGTCACAGGATAATTCTTGCTAGTATAGGCTATACATTAGAGTGCTAGTACAGGCTATACATTGGGGTGCTAGTATAGGCTATACGTTGGGGTGCTAGTATAGGCTATACATTGGGTTGGCTAGTATAGGCTATACATTGGGGTGCTAGTATAGGCTATACATTGGGGTGCTAGTATAGGCTATACATTGGGGTGGCTAGTATAGGCTATACATTGGGGTGCTAGTATAGGCTATACATTGGGGTGCTAGTATAGGCTATACATTAGAGTGCTAGTATAGGCTATACATTGGGGTGGCTAGTATAGGCTATACATTGGGGTGGCTAGTATAGGCTATACATTGGGGTGCTAGTATAGGCTATACATTGGGGTGTTAGTATAGGCTATACATTAGGGGGATTCAGAGGGTCAAGAAGAGGATGGGGAACAAAACTAGTACATCCAGCTTTTTAAAAAAATAAATAATAAGTTTGAATATTTCAAACATATTTGAATATAAAGAAATGTATTTTTTTTGTGGTTTGATTAATTTATTATATTATATTATATACACATCAAGAGGACAAAACAGTAGCACCAGAAACAACCGAGGATTGTTGGCGCGAGGAAGACTTTTACTCAAATGTTTCAGTGGTTTTCTTTTTTAGGCAGTTTGACCTGTATAAGACTGGAACTTTCGTCCTGTATCAGAGCAAGAGAAGGCAGTTTGAGGTTCGAGTTGTTTTCCTTTTGTTATCTTTCATATCTCTCATAACAAAGCTGCAACTACTGTCAAATAGAATTATGCAAACTTGCACTACCAAGATGTTACAAACATTTAAAAGTGCAACTGCAACAGAAAACTTACATCGCTTTAAAATGTTCGATGCTTTCACTTTTTAATTATATGTGTATGATACAACTCTTATCAGTTGAGATTTCCATACCCCAGGTAGACGTGCGAGCGTGGGCGTGTAGTGAGACACCCAACAGGGCAGCGTGCGCGTGCGGCGTAGTGGCTCGTGAGGGACAGGACACTGTCGCAGTGGACATGTGTAACACCGTGCCTGGGAGCTCTGGTCAACCCGACATTGACGTCAAAAGCGGAACGCTCAGCAGGAACACTAAAATATTCAAAGCCAGAGATGGAAAGATTGTTACGGTAAATTTGGTAGTTTCTTATTAGCAAATTGTTAGGTTTAGACGGAAAGGGGTGATATTATTTACGCTACGCTTCTTTCACGGACTTCTTTCACGGACAATATGTTATGATATGTCTTTTAAGATCTTAAAAGATTTGATGAAGGTAAATATTGCAGTCTTAAAATTGAGAAATACTCCTTTACTTTATATTTTAACCCTTATTATCAAAAAAACCCACTACCTCCATTTGCAATTGACAGTGAATCTCTCCCATGCAGAGATTATCTCTCTATCTTTTGATACAGGTTGCTTTTGGGTCTGGCTCTTTCGTCCGCATATTCATAGAGAAGTGGGGCCTGTCCCTCGTGGTGCAAGCTCCCAGTGAAGACTGGAACTCCACCATGGGGTTATGCGGAACATTTGACGGCGATACCAGGAACGATTTTCACGACAGAACTGAGCAGGTTTTGGAGACCGGAAGTGAGCAAGAGAAGGCGTATGAGTTTTTGGAACGATGGAGGTAAGTCCTAGCGGTTACACTGCAGAATTCAACAGAAAAATGTGTAGGAAACTTTGAACTGTACTACGTGATCACTGAAGGGAGAACGTGTCTCTCTTTCGTCTCTTGTGCTTTAAAACGCTTTTAAGTGGCATTTGGATAGGCAATTTATTTGGTTGTTTGGTTTGGTAATTACTATTAATTATACGGAAGTACTGTTTATGTATAAAGTGACAGACTGCTGCCTGATTATTTTTTTCTATTTAAGATTACTGCCAGGAGAGAGCTTATTTGATTATCAGGAATACAAACAACAGACAGTGTCTACCAAATCTGAGCGTACGTTCTGTGATTGCTCCAATTCACGTAAGCAATCTAATTTAAATGTAAAAGAAAACATATTAATTTCAAAGACAAATTGCAAGAGTAAAGAGTGGGCTCAGTTACCATTCATCATGTACCAGAAAGATGTGACGGGAGAGTACAACAACAGCAATGCGTATGTCTCCGCCAGGAGAACGCGTTCGGCAGAGCTGGATGCTTATGAAAGGTTCCGTGCATATGTAGCGGCAAGAAGGGCAGCACAATTAAGTAAGAAGGATGATAGTGAATTCAAAAGTGTTCCCACGTTGAGTACTACCAAAATTCCTCAGGTACAAAGTGTGCAGGAAGCAACAACATCCTCAACTGACCTATATAAACAGGCTCCGTCATCAGGAGCGAGACTGACAGGAACAACAACTTCCACAAAAATATTAACAACGTCATCTAAACCATCTCTAGTAACATCAACCCCATTGCCATTGCTTCAATCAACAACAGTCCAGATGGAACTGACTACAAGTCGCCGTGTTCCAAGTAGAATTGTTGGCTTCACTTCACCCTCAGCACGTTCCAGACATGGCTATTTAAGAAATAAATGGGTAAATCGGGCACGAGTCTACAATATACGATATCCGGTTGAACGCACCACTATTTTGCCGACAACCAGGGAACAAAACGTGAAATCACGTACCAAA